TTTTGTTTTCAAAATGTATCACTGGCTGCGTTTGTTTTGTTTTCCTCAACAAATTAACTGTTCCGAGATCTCTTTCATTTTTCGTCCGGCTGCTGCCAATCCAATAATTCGTCGCCGCATGTACTCAGACAAGCGATTAATCGTCACAGTCATTATACTAGTAGTTTAAGTCCAATTAATTTGTAGAAATTCAGCTATGCGATAATTATATTGTGCAGTTTTGTTTTGCGCACCCAGACACGAGCAAAAGTTAACCCATAGATTTTCTGAACTACAGCATTCGTATTACTTATGCAAATTGAGTAAGGGTCATAGTGTGAGTTGCGTTCGAAAATAACAAAGTGTCAAATTATTTTGAGCGCCGTTCGGAATAAATTTAGTCAAAATCACACACAGAAACACACACACAACACACAAATACTAGTACTCAATACATCTCGCGATTGACCAGTTATATAGCTGCTTGAACTACACACACAAGGACATAAGTATGTAAATACAGGTCACAGTTCGACTTGCGTAGCAAACGTTACAATGTGTCAAGTGATTTGAAGGCGTCTTTGTTCCAAAACAGAGAAGCATTAGGCGTTGTGTTTTGAATCGTCATTAAAACCTAAATTTATTACGAATAAAAACTTAAGTTTATACACACAATGTACGATCATTGTTACTCCAGCGGTCGGCTGGCAAGCGGACGATGTTTCTGAAGCCAGCCATAACAGGAGTGAGCGAGCGAACAAAAGCGAGCGAGCGAGCGAACAAAAGCGAGCGAACGCGAGCGAGCGGAAAAAAAGCGGTCGGTTTCCGGTCGAAAAGCAGCGAGCGGTCGGAAATTAAGCGATAAGTGGTCAAAAAAAAAAGCGATAAAAGCGGGAGGTTGGGCGGAATGAATACTGTAGGTTCTGGCCATGCTGTATCAACAACATACACAAATAGATTCTGGCCATACTGTATCAACAACATACACATATAGGTTCTGGCCATACTGTATCAACAACATACACAAATAGATTCTGGCCATGCTGTATCAACAACATACACATATAGGTTCTGGCCATGCTGTATCAACAACATACACATATAGGTTCTGGCCATACTGTATCAACAACATACACAAATAGATTCTGGCCATGCTGTATCAACAACATACACATATAGGTTCTGGCCATGCTGTATCAACAACATACACATATAGGTTCTGGCCATGCTGTATCAACAACATACACATATAGGTTCTGGCCATACTGTATCAACAACATACACAAATAGATTCTGGCCATGCTGTATCAACAACATACACATATAGGTTCTGGCCATGCTGTATCAACAACATACACAAATAGATTCTGGCCATGCTGTATCAACAACATACACATATAGGTTCTGGCCATGCTGTATCAACAACATACACATATAGGTTCTGGCCATACTGTATCAACAACATACACAAATAGATTCTGGCCATACTGTATCAACAACATACACAAATAGATTCTGGCTGGGCTGCATTAACAACATTTATGCATTCTGCATAATCATCAACACTTCAATATTTCAGTGATTAAAATAAAAGTTATAATTACAATAGGTTCGATGTTCCTTTCTTGTGCAGCTCTTTCAAGAATCAGTAGATAATTAGGAAAATGTTCCAGTGTTTTGAATTGTTGAGTGGTTACAGTTTGTTCAGTCAATGCTCTCAACAAATCAACGGGGAATGAACTGAAAAGAAAGTATTTATTAGGAATTTCCAAGTACTTTGTTTACAAAAACTTCTATTATCTTCTATTCAAGATTCATGCATAAGTCAAAATCCCATTCCATGTGAGATTCATGCATATGTCAAGATCCCATTCCATATGAGATCTATGCACATGTCAAGATCTCATTCCATGTGAGACCAATGCACATGTCAAGATCTTATTCCATGTGAGATCCATGCACATGTCAAGATCCCATTCCATATGAGATCCATGCATATGTTAAGATCCCATTCCATGTGAGACCCATGCACATGTCAAGATCTCATTCCATATGAGATCCATGCACATGTCAAGATCTCATTCAATATGAGATCCATGCACATGTCAAGATCACATTCCATATGATATCCATGCA